GGTCTTTGCTCAAATACTACTTTCTCCATGAGGCTTCTTGATCATTTAACTGAATTTGCAATCCCTCCCAACTACCACCACACTGTCCCTCTCCCCTGCTAAACATCATACAAGGCACTATGGATTTTGTGTAAAGTTGAGTTTTTAATCCATCTTATACACACACTAAAAAGTAAGTTGAAGGATTTTTTAAAAAATCTTTTTCACTAGTGTATTAAAAGCCTTTATATCAGCTTTTTGTATGTAGTAGTAACCAGCCAATAACCTGTTGAAAAACAAAACACTAAGAGCATTTTAAGTACCCATAAAGAATGTCATTGAGCTTATAAGAAAGAGGATGGTGGGGATCCAGGAGTGAGTTTCTATACTTCCAGAAGTTCACCTGGAAGTTGCCCTGGGGGTTTGACTGTGCCCGTGTATCTCACATGTGTGTAGATGGGCCACCTGGAAAGAACTGTCCTCTCCCAAAACACCAAAAATTCATAGCAGGTTGAAAATAAAGTGAGAAAATAAATGCTGTTGGCTAAAATCAACAACTCGGGGCCGGGGAGATGGCTCAGTAGAATAAGTGCTTGCCTGACAAGTGCAAGGGCCTGAATTCAATCCCTGGCTCCGCAAAAAAAAATTAAAAAATAAAATCAACTCATATCAGATTCTAGTACAGGAAGTTTAGGAATAATGAGGTCACCAGGAAGTTTAGGAAAAGTGAGTATTTACCAAGTATCTGGTGTTACACCATGAGGACACAGGTTTCAGACACACAACTATCCACCCTCAAGATATTTCCAGTCTTTGGGAGACAGCTACATAATATTGCCATCAGCTAACAACAAAGTATATGTCGTAGGCAAAAAGCAGCAGAAAGGGGAGACAGATTAAGAACAGCAGTAGAGGGGATGATATCTAAAATGGGTTTTGAAGCATGAAGCCTCCCTAAAAAAGAAATCTGTAATTGAGAAACGTCATTTTTTTCTTTTGTCTTTTTGAAATAGGGTTTCCTTGCGCAGTTCAGGCTGGCCTTGAACTCACTTTGTAGTCCATGATGGCCTCCAACTCACAGTGATCTGTTATGGGTTGCTCAGAATAGGAACCTGTTCAGTCAGATTGCAATTTGGAAAGCCGTTTATTACTGAGCTCAGGGACCCCATCAGCTCTCACGCAGGACAGGACCCAAAGGCAGCTAGCCCAGGAAGCAGGGGGGCTTTTAAAACATGAAACCACATTCTGTTTGGTAAACAAATTCATTGTCTGACACAAAACAATGCTTTTAGGATCATTGTGACCACTTCCCAAACTAAATTTCCTGGGGCTTTGTTTTAATGTCTGGTTATCTTGCACCTGAGTACCTGCAGGCAACCTTGCATAGCCTGAGGTTACAAGAAGTTAAAACCTATTGAATTTCCTTTTGAAGTCATCTCTGTAATCTAAATTCGTTTATAGGAATTGGTGAGGTAGGAATTTTATCTAGCAAACAGCAAAGAAACAGCCACTATTTACTAAACAACTTAGAGCAGTGGGTGAATATACATTTACACAACAGAAAACACAAGATTTATATTTATAGTCTAAAATGTGAGTTGACCCATTACTTGATCCCGTTTCCTTAGTCTTCCAAGTGCTGGGATCACCGGTGTACTGGTTGATACATTGTGTCAACTTGAGAAGTTTAGAAGTTTAATTAAGTGACTCAGGATTCTTAGTTTGTAAACATCCTCATCCTGTGCAAGAGGATGTCCTGGGCATGGACACTGTGTGAGTTCTACACCGCCAGCCCCAGGGGAGCTTGTTTATGATACAAGGGGGGAGAGAGGCTGGCTAGAAACCCAGCTGCTGCCCTTCCCTTTGTTCTTTGCTGTTTTCTGCTGTCATGAACTGCTGCTCTCTATCATGTGAGACTGTTCCTGGGAGCCAGCCAAGTATGGACTGAAACCTCCGCAAACTGTAAGCTACATAAACCTTTCCTTCCCTAATTTGGGGTGTCAAGTATTTTGTCCCAGCAATGAATGAAAAGTAACAGACAACAGGCATGTGCCACCACACCCAGCAGAGAAACATGCCACTATTAATTTTTCTGGGTCCAGTGAGATAGCTCAGTGAACTAAAGCGCTGGCTTAGTGACTCTGACCAGCTCAGCCTGCCCTGAGGGCAGGGCTGGCATGGCATGTAGTGCTGAGGACCAAACCATGGTCCCTGTGGCTTGCCTCAGCTTACCTAAACTTCCTCATTTAGTAAAAATGTCCTCCTACCTGGATTTTAACAGCAACAGCTTACAAACCCCTATTTGTGTAGAGCAGAGTTTGGACATGAAAGAAAGGCTGAATGAAACCAACAGATGACAAAAAAAGAGACCAGTGGCTTCACAGGGTCAGAGTAGCATAACTAGAAATAGTCACAAGATCATCAAAACTTTAAGTATAGCCACTAGAGAGGAAGAGGAGAGGAGTTGGAAGGGAAGGGCCTTAGTCTTATACTGTGACCCTTGCCTGGAGCACTCTTCCTTGAGTTCTCCACCTCGCCTGATAATGTTGCCTGCTCTTAAGGACAGAGGCCACCTTGGTGCAGAAAGGCCACTCTCTGACCTCTGAAGGCTTCCACCATTGAAGTCTTAACTGTGTTATCTTGTGCCCCTTCCCCAACAGCCTTGCTTTGCTAGCATCTGGCGGGGGCACTCAAGGCCCTTCTTCCCCTGGACCCGGAAGACCTTTCCAGCTTCATTTCAGTGTCCTCAGCTTACCCCAGACAGCCACACTCTTCTCTCAGGTCTGTGTCTTCACAGACACAAATGCCCTTTTCCCTTTACCTCCTCACATGAAAAATCCCAATTCCCGTTTGAAGAAGTGATTGTTATCACCACCTCTGGGCCTCAGAATCCTGGGCTCTAGCAGCCCCCAGGCCATACCTATTCTAGTCAGCCTTTTGTTTCTCAGGGTACCATGCTCCAGTCCCCAGGACCTTTACACTTGTTTCCTTGCTTCAACCTGGTTGATTTCTACTCATTCATCAGAGTTCAGCTCAAACCTCCTTTCTCCTGGGAAGCACTGGTTGGCTCCTAGGCTAGCTGGGGAATTATTTATCATAATAGTTTTGTTGTTTGTTTTTGTCTTTTTTAAAAATGTATTTTAGTACAGGGTCTACCAGGTCTCATTACGTAGATCAGATTCGCAGTGATTCTCCTGTTTTCAGCCTCCCAAGTGCTGAGATTACAGGCATATCACCAGGCCCAGACTCAATCACTGTCTCAGCGCACCCCGGGGGGGGGGGGGGGGGCAGGACTGGCTGGAGGCACTTTAATCTGCTGAGCTATCTGGCCATATTTAATGCTTGCCTTTTCCTGGGTAGGAACCACAACTGCCTTGTTTTTCAAGGCATGAGATACCTATAGCAGAACAACTTCTGAAGGAAGTGCTCAGCCCTTACCACATTCGGTCTCCTGTTTTTTGGGTTTATTTTATAGCAATCTGGGAATGCTTGGAGGACTAGCTCAGGGTCAATCCCCAGTCTTCTGAGCCTCACTTCATAGACTTACAGGGCTTTTCTGAGCCAGAATTCTGCCATGGGTATTACTTAGAATCCCCCGTCATTGAAGACTTGGGTGCAGGGTCTCACTATATATCTCAGACTCCTGGTGATCCTCCTGCTTTCAGTCTCCCCAGTGCTGGGATTATAGACATGCATCACTATGGGACTGCACAGTCTGCCTGGAGGTGGGGCTGATGTGGCATGAGGTACCGTGGATGGAACCATGGTCCTGTGCTTGCCTAAGCAAGTGCTTTAGTCCCCTGAGCTATCTCACTAGCGCCTTGGTTGCTTCTTTATCATGCCTCCTCAGGTGACTGTCTCATAACTATGTTAGGGCCCCATCTTGGTATGAATATAAGTTACTTTAGTTCAATGCATGCATTGTCCCTTATCACCTGGAATTTGCCCTTTATCATCTGGGAAGGTTAGTTTCTAACTGAGTTTTGAAACAGTGCAGATCATTCCCCTGTCTCACTGGGTTTGATTTCAGTGGTCTTGGTTTCTTTGAATCTGGTTTGTTGATGTGTCTGCTGCCTACATAGCCTTTGAAGGTCAAACTGACTTCCCACCCACCCTTTTGGTGTGTTATCTTAATTTCTTAGCCTCTTTTTAACCTCCAGTTTCTTGGTACAGGTGTTAGCCTGCTGACTGAGGGGCAGCTTAGCTGTTGCACAGATCCTGCTGCACTGGCCTCAGCCAAGTCCACATGCAGATGGGCAGGGACAGAAAGGGCTGGCCATTTCAGCTCCCCTTCAGGCCTCTCTGCCGTGCCCTCAGGCTAAAAGACCACAGCTGTCCCTGGGCCTGCAGGAACCTTCTGCCTCTGTCTGTCAACACTGTTCTGCAAGTGCTGAGCCACAGAAGGTCCCTCCTGCATTGCAGTTTTCACCTCAGATCTGCTTCTCAGCAGTCTCTTGTCTCAGGCTCTAGGTATTTTCTTAACTTTTATTCTCCTAAAGTCTATGGGCGTCTTTCATTTATCAAAGTGTTTCCCATCCATTTTTCTATTCCAGTACAGTACTCCCATTCTACGCTGCCTCATGGATTAAGAAGGGAAGCTAGGGCCATGGATATAGCTCAGGGGCATAAGCACCTGCCTGGCAAGTGCAAGGTCGTGAATTCCAGCTCTAGTACTACATCAAAACAAAATAAAAAGGGAGGCTAGCCCCCAGCTAGTCACCAGCTGGGGAAACTGAGGCCCACAGTGACTCAGTGACCAGCCTGAGGCCAGGCAATAATTAGAAGCTGAGCTCTCAGGTTTTCTAGTCCCTCTTCCTCCCAAGTGCCAGCATCCAGGAACAGAAAGGGAGCCTCATTGAAAGGAATCCTGTCCTGGTGAGAGAATCCTGAAAGCATGGCTCAGGGGTGTAGACAGGCAGGCAGGGTCCCGCGGCTCCTGCCAACGGCTGGGGAAACTGAGGCTCAGAGCCCTGCCCTCCATCGCCTCCCAGGACGGGAAGGGGCGCGTCCTGCCCCTTGGGCCGCCCCCTCCGCCCCCCACGCCGGTCCCGCCTGGTCTTCGCCTCCGCGGGCGGGAGTCATGGCGGTAGCCGTGGCGGCGGCGTGGCTGCTGCTGCTGTGGGCCGCGGCCTGCGTGCAGCGGGAGCGCGACTTCTACGACTTTAAGGCGGTCAACATCCGGGGCAAGCTGGTGTCGCTGGAGAAGTACCGCGGCTCGGTGAGTGCGCGGCCGCGGCGCGGGGTGTGGCTGCTGCCCTCCGCCGGCTCGGCCGCCCCCGCCCGGTCCCTGTCCGCGCGTCCCCGGCGACGACGTGGCGCGGCCCTGGCCCCGGCCCTGGAGCTCAGCGAGTCCCACACCGCCTTCGGGCCTTCGGGCGGTGGTGCCCAGGCTCGCTGGGAGGGTGGCTACCCGGCTCGGGCTGCGAACTGGGCCTGCCGGGTTTGAGTCCTAAATCCTGACCCGAACGAAGGAGCTGCTGATTTTGGGTCCCAGGAGGACCCTGTAGAGATGAATATGCGAGCGGAGAGAGCTGTTTTAAGACGCACAGATCTGTGACGCGGACCGTCTTTTAGAGAGAACTCTAAGGTCCAGAGAGAGTAGGTCATGTGCACAGGGTCACAAAGCACCGAAAACTAGAGAGAGCCCACTGGAGACCTAACTCCTGTGGTCTGCACGCAGTGTGCGCCTTAGAGGACAGTAAGAGCTGAGATATGGGAGTCGATCAAGCCATTTGGCCCCCTACCAAGAGGGAATCTCAGCCCCTAAAACTAGTGCAGAAAGGAAAAAAGTCTATCATTGAATCATTGAGCAGATTTTAGCGAGATGAAGAGGGCCCTTCCAGGAAGAGCATGGTCCACATCCAGCGGTCCAAGCAGACTGTGCGAGTTGGGATTGGGTGGAGTGGACCAAGTTGTACTGAGGAAGGCAGAGCCCAAGGCAGAGAGTGGCGCTGCCAGGGCTAAAGGGGTCAGGGGGAACAGTGCATTCAGGGGCCCCTGTGTGACACAGTGTAATGAAGACCCCGCCGAATCTGCCTGTCTAGACTTGGAGCTCTAAGGTGGAAAAGTGGGGAGCTCTGTGGACACACATGGGCCCGGAGTCCAGATCTGGATACACCACCCAGCAGTGACTGTGGGCATGCTTTTCCTGGGAGCAAGGTTTTTTTTTTTTTTTTTTTTCATAAAATAGCTACATATACTGTTATTTTTACATATGCTAATGTTGCTGCCAATAATTTTTTTTTTTTTTTTTTTTAGATTATAACCAGAATACATTTATTGAGGGAAAGAAAGCTCCTGTCCAAGAGAGGGACAGGAGGGGGGCCTGAGCAAGTTGTCCCCGAGCAAGGTTATCTTTAGTGATGAAATTATATAAGCCTCGAAATTCTCAGTTATACTGGGGTACTAATCTTTGACTCGATCCTACCTCAGGATCATGGAAATTTCAAGTGAGATGACAGTGTGAAAAAGCACTTGGTAAACTGTACAGTGCTCTGTGCCTGTGTTTGGTGGTGCTCAGAAGGAGCCTCTTTTAGGAATCAGAGTAAATATGTGGAAAGAGCAGATCCTGTTCCTGTTTAGGCCTCCCCTCACTGCTCACCACAGAGCCCCAGGGTTAGCTCCTCATTGTTCTGCTACTCAGCAACTACTGTGAGGTAAGTAATAGGCCAGGCCTTGGCCATACAGTGAACAAGACAAGTTTCCAGTAGAGTATAGGTTATGTGGAGGAGATTGTAACCAGAGAACTGAGAAACAACGCAATAGCAGTAAGCAGGCACTAAAAAGTAGTATAACAAGGTTTCACAGTTACTAAGAGGTAGAGATAGAATTTGAACCCAAGCAGTCAACTCTACCCTTAACTGCTAAATTTAGAGGGAAAACAAGGAATAATTATTGCAGGGAAGCTGTACATTGTGCTTTGAGTTAATCCAAGGGCTGTCTGCCAGTTAGGCAATGAGCTTATTCCATCAGCAGAGATTCAGTGTTGGTGACAGCCATAGGAAAGACTGACAGATGACTGCTTGGGAGTGTGCTTGCTTCCTGTGTGGGGTTGCATACTTATAGACTTGAGCAGTGTGTGTGTGTGTGTGTGTGTGTGTGTGTGTGTGTGTGTGTGTGTAGAGGGTTGCTGTTGTTTACCCAGCCAAGTCTGTATGGGCTAGTATGTGGACTTACATAAATTTGGCCCTTGGCTTCTAGGAACCAGGCTTTTTGGTATCTGTAATAGAATAGGAAACAAGATTTCCACTCTTCCAAAAGAGTAGGCAGAGACATTTAGTGTAAATTAAAAATAAGCTACCTCTAAAGCCATCATTCCCCCAAGGAAAAAGGTGGGAAGGGAGTTAAAAAATCCCAGTGTCTCACCATCCTAGGCAGAATCTGACACATACTGACCACAGATGAGGGAGGTTGTTCTAACAGCTTATGGCCCCAGGGAATGAGTCCTTCCTCCTTTGTTGGCAGCAGGGTGGAGTTACAGCTCTGTGACTCAGTCATTTAACCCAATGGCTGTGGCTCTCACTGAAGATTTTGCACCCCAGGGAGTATTTGGCAGTATTGGAAAACATTTTCCATTGTTGCATCTAATGGGTAGAGGCCCCAGGTGCTGCCAAACATCCTTCAAAGAACAGGATAGCCCCCCCACCAAGAATTAACTAGTCCCTTGTATCAGTAGTGATGAGGTTGAGAAACCCCGTCTAGCCTGAGCAGTTTGTGCATGTGCCTGTCCAGCACCCCAGGGATTGGATCCTCTTTACAGGGTCAGCTAGTTCAATTCCAGCTCTTCTCAAAGAGTGGCAAGGGCGATGTGGCTGGACTACCCAGGCACAAGGTAGGGTTTTTAGTATTTTAATAATATACTGCTGAAGCTACCAACATAGCATTGGTGCCGAAATTCTAATGGCAGTGTTGTTATTATAATCCACTTCTGTCCACCAACTTTGTATTTATTGCTTAAGCTTTTAATAAAATTAGGGGTTAGTCTAGTGATCAAAGAAAATAGTGTTTACTGGAGGTTGAGGGTACAAAAATGGGATTGCTCTGGGACTCAGGGTCCTTTTGTCAAGAAAGTCTGTCTACCTATGCAGGTGTTTGTATGTGTGCAAAGTTACTCATTTGGCAAGCTCTCACACTTACTGAGATCTTTCCATATGCCAGGACCAGAGATGACATGGACCTAGCTCCTGCCCTCAGCAGGTTCCAGTTCTAGAAGGGACACCGAAATAGGCGGGCATCTACCAAGTCATGAGTGCTAGCTGACTGAGATTATAATTGAATTCAGGTTGCTTTCCTAATCTCCTGCATCCCCTGTGTGTGCCTCTGTGAATAGGGGTGTGTGTGTATGAGAATGTGGATGTTACTAGTTCATGTTTGTGTCATGGAACATGTACACACCCACCCGTTTATATGTACTGTGTACTTACATCCTTAAGATGTTCATGCATATGTGCACACATCTGTAACCCCCTGAATGTTTGATTTCATATACCTGTATGCATGTCTTTGTAGATATGTGAGAGCATCACACACACATTTACATATGTACATAGTATTCTTGTATTTGTGAGGGAACATTAATTATTGGGGAGCTATGTATGTGGGCATATCAACTGTGTGCCATTTCATAGGTTGTGTATGTGTCTGGGCTTTTTTGTTTTGTGTTTTCCATCCAGGTATCCCTGGTAGTGAACGTGGCTAGCGAGTGTGGCTTCACAGAACAGCACTACCGAGCCCTGCAGCAGCTACAGAAGGACTTGGGTCCCCACCATTTCAATGTGCTTGCCTTCCCCTGCAACCAGTTTGGCCAGCAGGAGCCAGACAGCAACAGGGAGATTGAGAGCTTTGCCCGCCGCACCTACAATGTTTCTTTCCCCATGTTCAGCAAGGTTGCAGTCATTGGCACTGGTGCCCACCCTGCCTTCAAGTACCTGACTGGTGAGTCCCATTGCATCCTCTCAGCTTCCCTCAGCTGACTGAGGCTGTGGCTCCCTGGGCGGAAGCTGTGGTTTCCTGGGCAGAAGGAGCCAAAGACTGGGTGACCTGAGGCCTCTTCTGAGCCCCTTTTAGGTGGGTTGATGTTTCTGTTTTGTTCCAGCACTAATCTTAGGGGAGGATGCAGGCAGCCAAAGGTGAGGGGGATCCTTTTTTTTTTTTTTTGTGGAACCGGGGATTAAACTCAGAAGCACTTATTCTACTGAGCCATCTCCCTGGCCCCTGAGGGGGATTCTTGCCTAAGAATATCTCCATACCTGCTGCCTCAAAGTTCTCTCTCAGAGTCACTCTAGAGGGCTTCTCTGGGGGATTGACACCTGGAAGGACTTTGTGTCCTCATGCTTTAATCAGTATAGATTACATGAGTTCATAGATTTAGGAGTGAGAAGCCAAACTGAGATAGGTATTATAGACAGCTAAATTAGATAGATATTAATATGTAGTCAGAGAGAAATGGGCCCTCAAAGGAGGTCAGCACAAAAAAATGAAGACATCAAAATTATGGCTGGAGGTACATCTGAAAAAGGCCAGGCCTCAGGATGAAGACACAATGGCTAGGCCTGCATACTTCCCTAAGACAGTAACACCAATTTCAAATTATACCATAATTAGGACCACCCGGTCCAGTAAGTCCAAATAGGCATCAAACACCTGGGCCCATCCTCCTATCCCTTCTTGTCGTTTTCCAAAAGATAGGGAATATGTTTTTCCTCTAAAAGGGGACACTACACATCTGCAGTGGGTAGATATTGACCATGATGGCTGACAGGCATCTCCTGTCTTGTATCAGAGGTAAAATCAGTAGGCCATGGGAGGGAAACCTGAGCTAAAATCCCAGATCTCACTGCTTCAAAAGTGGTCTCATGGGGCCGGGGAGATGGCTCAGTAGAATCGGCGCTTTCCTGGCAAGCGCAAGGGCCTGAGTTCAATCCCCCGTTCTCTGCAAAAAGAAAAAAAAAAAAAAAAAAGTGGTCTCAGACGCCTCAGAGCCACAATATGGGGTCATAGACCAAACTTGTACTGTGACCCTGTCCTTTCTCAGGCCCTTTCCTCCTCTGCGGACTTTGTGTTCTGGTTCTCTTTGTGTCCCTCCCTACCACCCTACTTCACAAGCCACCACCTGGTAGAGTAAATGAAAAACAGCAGCAAATTTTACCAAAGCAGTTTTACATTTCACTCTTGGATCAATCCTAATGTTTTCCTTTTTTCCTGTGTGATTTTGTTAGTTCTTTCCCAGGCCCCTTAGTTAGAGATCAGATGTGGCCTTGCTTTGGAGGCACTTGGCAAGATCTTAAAGTTACACAAAGATGAGACCCACAGAAACAGGGCTTCAGAATCTCTTTATGAGCTCCCCTCTGCTCCCATGATTGTAATTCACTGTGTCCATCTACTAATATTGGGAACCGTTAAGTTTTTTTTTTTTTTTTTTGCGGAACCGGGGATTGAACTCAGGACCTTGTGCTTGCCAGGAAAGCACTTATTCTACTGAGCCATCTCCCTGGGCCTTTTTTTTTTTTTTTTTTTTTTTTTTTGGCAGAACCGGGGATTGAACTCAGGACCTTGCCATTAAGATTTAATTAGAGAGTATGGTGTGGTCTGTTCAGTAATTCATGGACATTAATAAAGGAAGATTTTTTGCTGCTATATCACAGAATCCTAAAGTGTTCATTCTTAACCTTGATGTCCTATCAGAATCTCCAAGAGAACTTTTGATTTTAATGGTCTGGAGTCTATACCGGGCATCAGGATCATACTACAAGTAGAATGGCAGGGGTGGGTATGAGAATTCAACTTTGTTCTTCTTCTTTTCCTTTCTTCTCTAGAGACTTCTGGGAAGGAACCCACCTGGAACTTCTGGAAGTACCTAGTGGCCCCAGATGGAAAGGTGGT